CCCCCCCTCCATTTTTTGTTATCAAGGGTAAGGGCCTGGGGTTTGCCATGTGGAATTAGGCCCGTTGACCTTATCTTCCGAAGTAGGCGGTAGATAATCTTCCGTGATTGGGGTTTAAATGCAAAACCTTCAGTCACAAAGCTTTGGATTTTTATGGTGGTTGGCCTGGGGCTCTCGATTGCTATAAATGCAGAAAAATACAGAGAAAGGGGTAAACTAACAGACCTTAATGTTCTGGAGTAGCGAGTTCCACACTTCATACAGAAAACACTTTGAGTCAACTGCAAGTTCTGTTGTTACAGGATTTTTAATGTCTGACTTCATTCCTGAGATAAAAATACTATTTTTTTTTTCTGTCTTTCCATATGCACTTACCCTGTTCTTCCTGTATCGCCCCCACCCTGTGCCAAAATGCTGGAATAATTTGGGGCTGGATCTCCAGTTGTACGGCCGTGGCAGAATTCTCCATATTTTCTGTTCCTTAACACTACTGATGTTCTGTTTCCTGTTCTACTGGAAGGAGCTTTGAGATCCTCTGCTTTCCACCTACTCCCAGATGGAAAATGTATTATTTTTATTCACGATGGTAGTGTAGCCTGGCGCTGGGGCTTGTTTTCTGCAGCAGCCTTCTTAGATTGTGACTTTTTTGCAAGACTAAAGCGGCGTTTGGCTCTCCTCCCCAGGATTGCCTGTAGCTCATGACTAAAAAGCCTGTATCCAATACCGGCGAAACGAGACTAATCTTGTCCTCACAAATGAAGGCCAACTGGTTTCTATCTTGAAATGGTGAAATGGAAAGCTCCCCGTACGGTATATTTTATTACAAGTTGCAGAAAATTAAATTACAAGGAGTGCTGTGAGTAAGGGACTGGCCTGGGGCTTCCTAACTGTTCGTGCAGGAGAGGTGTTTGTTGATGTGTTTTCCTGTGGGAAAACATTAGCGGGCTTAGGGCTTCATCAGATAAACTTCAGATATTGAGGTTGAGCCTTGGATCTTTCTTGCAGATAATCATCCACGTCGTCCTTGGGCAGTAACGGAAAAAGTTGTTTCAGTCCAAATGTGAGACGCTGAACTTCTCTTCCCTCCTTCCTAAAGCAAAGAACCTGTGTTCTACGGGAACACATAAGAAATTGGAAAGCTAGCCCGTGATTCAACAAATTAACCTTTCAGGCTTTTACACAGACACATAGGGGTGTTTTTTTAAATTATTTTACCTTTATGGACCTCTCTGGGTGCAGTCGTCTTTGTACAGAAGTTGCCTGAGTACCTTACACTGCTAATGCAGTTATCTGCCTGTAGTGTAAATTGTTGGTGTGCAGAAAGCCCGGTGGAATATTAATATCAAGATTCACTCCACAAAAGAAAAGGTGAAAATGCTGGCCAGTAAAAAAAAAAAAAAAAAAAAAATTAGGCCTTTTAGACTCTCTGAGGTCTTTTATTTCTTTTAGTCCATCCTGTTTGGTAGCTTGTGACCAGCTGAAGTTGCTTAAAGCGATTTCAGGCTTGAATTGGGGTGTTAAATGCAATGTCTTTTCCTGTTCTATGTTAAATGCTGCCAGTAATCCTTTGCAAGTTTGTTTTGAAAGAACATCAAAAAGAACCTGTTTTCTCTTGCTAGAATACCCGGGTTCTGGTCTCATTTGTTGTACTTCCTAGGGAGCTGAAGTGATTTCCGTACTTGGGTTTGCCTTTGATTTAAAAACCTTGAATAGAGAAAACCAGGCAAGTTCCTTTTTCTTTGTGCTTTTCTTAATTGATCATTTGGATGCGACAAGCCTTTGACCTGCTATTATCAAGAATACACTCTGAACCAAAACTTGCATTAATTCCGTAGATAATAGGACCAACTGAAATAGCAACTACAAGCTGCTACATGATAAGCCCTTGTACTCTTAATAACAATGGAGGCTATATTTTGATACCCTCTTCTCCAAATAAGTAATTTTTTGATACGCAGACAACGAGCTAGAATGTTGATATGAGAATAAAATAAAAATATTTTCACTCACTGCTGCATCATTTCATTGCAAATTCTTAGCACTAGAAACATAAATGTTCAAGTTTGATTTTTTTTTTTTTGAGCTCATTGCCTTGCATGCGTTGTATACTGTCAAAAAAAATTAACACTGCCAGTATTAGTATTTAAAAATACTTGGCTTTTCCAGTATGGGTATCTGTACTTCA